TGTGTGTGTGTGTGTGTGTGTGTGTGTGTGTGTGTGTGTGTGTGTGTCTGTCCAGCTGTATGGTCTCCAGTCTCTTATCAGTGTAACCACTGGCCCGTAGTTAACAGCGACCATCTGGTGCCCATACAGAGTGAGTTTTAGCGAGCAAGCCTCTCTGATCTTCATGTCAAAACTACCCGAGCCACATCACTCTCTCCTCCTCACGGTTTTGTTTGTGTTTATATGAATGTACGCTATAGATATTTAACATATACCTTTCCAACCACTTCCTCCCTTCCTTCATCTCGCCTCCTCCCTAAATCACTCACATTTCACTCTTCAGATCAGCTTTCCCTCCATCCTCTGATGACAGGCTGAGATCTGTGTAGAGATGCACACTGGCTGAGTGTGTTCCACACTTTCGTTAGCTGGTTAAACAGAAATGAACCTCTGCCTCTTGTGATGTGGGGCACAACAAGGGTTCTTGTAGTTTATTTAGTATTCGTTGTATTATTAGTATTTCAGTATCCTAAAGCATAATAGTGTTTTTGAATTTGAGCTATGAGCATAAGTTATCATTTACACTTTTGCCAATCGATGTTTCTGTATTGATGACTGAAATGTTTTGCATTAGAACAGGAGAAATTCAATTGTGTTTTTTTTAACAGTCCTCGGTCTAGCTATGTGTTGTTCTGTAAGTGTGCTGGTATATTGAGATTGTACTGCAGGTATAAGCTGCAGGCACACAGGAGAGGGTCATACAGGGTCCTATTGATTCCTGCTGCATTGGTGGCATTATTATTATTGATGCTCTTAAACCATTTAACATTCTCATAGCAACCACAAAGGTACTCCTGTTGTATAAATACAGACAAAGGAAGTCACTTTGTCTGTCCACCTTTATGTAATCCTGTGGAGAGAACGAGTTGCATATCCTGCTGCCTGAAGGGAAAACTGTCTAGAAAACTTATTTAGCAAGTGAGTTCATTGCAAGACCAACAGTGGCCACTCACACAGGGTGTTCATACAATAGAACTATAGGGGCTACGTGTCATAGTGAGAGTAGATAATAAATGCGTGTTTTGCAGTATGTTTCAAATGCATTGATACATCAACCTATCCTTTCAAGTCGCTTTTCTGCTTTCTTACAAAATGCTTAACACACACACACACACACACACACACACACACACACACACACACACAGAGACATTTGCTGTCTGTGTCAGCACAGTGTGACATTCCAAGGAACAGTCCGGGAGGGGGTTGAGGACAGAGACAGACTTGGCAGCTCAACATCAAATTGCCATTCTCTCACTGTCTCTCACTCACACACACACACACACACACACACACACACACACACACACACACAC